GGGGATTTGGGGACCGTGACGCAAGTGTGGAGTTATTGTAGGGTCTGGCTGTAAACAGCACCGCGGTTACGGTTTTTGCCGTAACCTCGACACCTGCCAAGCGGCAGCAATTTATTAACCAGTCTCCTGGTGTTAATTAACCAGTTAACGATGCCAATCTGCCCGTAGCGGCGCACTGTCCCGGTGACACAAGGCACTGCCCGGTGTTATCGGTGGCACTGGGTCCCCCCAGCTGGGGCTGATGCTGGTGGCACGGTGACGCCAAAGGGACAAGGTACCAGAAAAGCACCGGGACGAGGAGGAAACACCAAATTCTGGGAGGAAGGAGGGACTAGGGGACAGCGGTGAGGCCGCGGTGCTTCACTGGGTGCCGTGGGGCAGGATGCGGCTCCGAGCTCTGCCCGAGCTACAAGGCAAAGTAGTCGAGGGCACCGTGCCGGCAGAGACTGGCGGTCCAGACAGTGTCAGCTCTGCCAGAGCTCACCAGCATCCGGCACAGCTCGGCGCTCACCGCAGCAAAACGTTCCTCAGCCGCCGCGTCGTCGAAGAGCCGGCCGGAGGCGGAGGGTGGCCGGGGCGACTCCCGGCTGTAGCAGTCCACGGGGTAAGGGTAGACGACCAGGCGTAAATCCGGGAGAACCACGGTTTGCCGTAACAAGGCCTTGAGTCCCGGCGTGGAGAGGGGGTTACCGAAAAGTCCCAGGCAGCGGAGGCGGGAGCAACGGCAAAGCGCTGGCAGCAGAGCCTCCAGCCGGACGTCCGTTTTTCAGCCGGCACTCCATGAGGTCCAGGTGGAGGAGAGAGGCCGAGGTCTCCTCCAGGAGATGCCGGAGAGGTTGGAAAAGATTCTCGGAAAAATCGTGGCCGCTGAGATCCAACTTCTTCAGCGCCGGAGCATGGAAACTTTGGGAAAGGAAGGCGAGGTCGCCAGGAAGGAGGTAGCAGAAGGCGAGTTCCAGGCTTTCCAGGGGAGCCTGCAGGTCACTGCCGGGGTTGGGGAGGGGGAGAGAGCGAACCGTGAGCCCCTCCGAGGCCGTCACCGCACCGGGCATGAGCCGGGAGGGAGCTGCTGCCGGACTAAATCTTTGAATGACGGGGCGGGGATGGTTGCCGTA